TTGCAATGCGATCTAGCCACATCGCGCGACTGCTTTATATCGCCGGTGTGAACGCGCCTTTAAAGCCCCGTAAGGAATGACCTCATTCGGCTTCCTTAATTGCTATGTAACCAAAAAAAATAATTGAGATGTCTTAAATCTAATTGCATATTTGAAAAGGGGGTGACAAAATGCATAGACACAACAATTTTCATTACAATCTGTAGATAAATAAAAAAGTTCATTTTAGAACCAGTGTCTGGCCTTACCATGACGTGACATGATGTCACTACACTTTGAACAGACACCCAATGTTACTAGATGTAATAATGTTGACACCGTCATGTCACGTGGCATCATAACTTCACACCATGAGTTATGTGACATTGTAATGTTACACAACTCATGGTGTGAAGTCGTGGTGTCACGTGACATTATACAGCAGTAGTCTCAAACTCATTTGAGTGTGGGGGCCAGATAGCCCACACCGGAAAGTCCGAGGGCCAACGTACAACTGGAGGGGGGGGGGGGTTAGAAGATTTTAATGAGAAGAGACCTCGTGCCCTATGCTTTTCGTAAGCTCACAGTTTTGCCAGTGACATCTTTAAATTTGATTTGTTTATATGACTACTTTGGGCCCTGACCTGATATTATAGCAGAAATTAAAACTACACTGCCCCGCAACGTGCTGGCATTTTTAATAGAACAAGAAAGCCAGTAATCGGTCATTCCCAACTCAACATGTCTTAAAAAAAAAATTTTAATTGGCAGTTCTTGAATTCCTCACAAAACGTTTATTATAACATTCTGAACAAATACTCGTTTTTTAATTGCAATATTTTTTTTGATGGGAGAATCCCGAGCTCATAGCTTTATCTTTGGCACTTTCTCCCAAGCTAGAGTTTGCATGGCCGGCATGCATCCTTCAACGGACAGCTCGAGGTTGCAGAATGGTAGCGGAATTGTTGTACATTACAAAAGGGGAAGCAAAATAATAAAGCGAAACAAAGGGCAAATGAACACAGAGAAGTATAAGATGAGTGCATATGTTAAAAGAGCAGAGCTACTTTTCAAGTGAAAATGAATCGACGAGATGAGATCACTATAGCACATGTCGTTTCTAGCGCTCGAGACATGAAAACCGGAACTCGCAGCCGGCCTTCTGCGGGCCGCGTCCCAGCGAGTCGCGGGCCGCATGCGGCCCGTGGGTCGCGTGTTTGAGACCCCTGTTATACAGTATATATAGGGCTCTGTGTTTTCGGAGTTTATTTTTCGTCAAATTCGGAGGGTGTTTTTCGGAGTTAATTTTTTGCCGAAGATTCGGAGTATATCGGAGTTTATATTTGTTTGATTCCCAATTCTACGAAATTCGGAGTTTGATTTCACAGTGTTTTCTATTGAAAATAAATATGCAAATAATAACCGGATGTAAACGTATGCCAGATAAAAAGTAAAACGCGCTTGTATAGATTAAAATTTCTTCAGTTGAATTTGACGTTCGTGCCATTGCCATTGGCAATATTAATTTGTCCCATGACAAAAGTCGCACACAAGTGTTGCTTCGATAAACGTCGATACCTTAAAATCAATAAATCCCGAGGGCAGTCGCTACGAAGCTCGTAGTCACCCCATCCTATTCCATCAATCTAGGCCGCAGCTGCGCGAGGTGGAGTGGTTAAGGATGTAATAGAGAGTTTCAACTGTCCCCTTTCTCTATTTAATACAATCTCTATGGTCCATAGCTTTCGCTGTTACCAAAACATATCTTCTCCTTTCTCTAAATCACAAATCGCATGGCTCAAACTGGAAACCAAAAGAGTGGCTTTTGTCGTGGCCCGAATGTACAATGACCTGTTGCCCTGAATCAACATTGAAGAGACAAGCGGCAAGACCCCTGTTCACAACGGTCTGAGATTTGAAAGATAATTATGGTGCCATTTTCCCAGGACCATTGACACCGTGTTCATCAAACTGTAAAAAAACTTTTTTTTTTGCCGGGGGGGGGGGAGTTGCATTGGCACAAACATTCGGAGTTTATCGGATAAATCCGAATTGACCAAAATTTTACCGGCGGGTGTTTTTCGGAGTTTTTCGGATTTATCCGAAAACACGAAGCCCTAAGTATAGACCACTTACAACGTAACCGCTTATAGTGCAGGACCGGGTATAATGCGGCTTTTTTAACCCACCGGTTCGCCTCCCACAGAACTCCATGTAATTGCATACCGCTTAAAATGCAGGCACGCAAAGGGAAATACCGGTTATAGTGCGGTGTCTGGAACAGCCCGCCGACTGCGCCGACTGACGGGCGCAGCGAGCATGCTTCCCTGTGCGACACTAGACAACGGCGCTAGCCGCAAGCGGCACTCGCAGGGCGAGGAGGTTGCTCGAAGTAGTGGGGAACGCACGCATGTGTCGTTCACGTGCGTGCATCCACGACCAATGCGTGCGTCCCTCCGCTGCGTTGGAAACAACCACAACGCAATGTTCGTGCCGTTCGCGCGCGTTGCATGCTGGTTGCAGGCCGGCTTCTTCTATCCGCAAATATGGCGTCGGTCATGATCGTCGACGTAGACGGCGTGGTGGAAGCTCATCGTTCCGCGTAAAAGCGCTATCCTTGACTGTGAATTTTCGTCGTGTCTCACTATGATAACCCAGCACATACTAGAAGGGAAGATACACCTACTCGTGCGGCGATGTCGTGGCGGCACTGTCAAGACGGCAGAAACGCCCGTGTCGTCATGTTTGTTTACTTCGACTACAATGGTGCTTTCTATGCATTTGTGTTTTCGAACATCGCCCAGATTTTTTATTTGGAGCATTTCATGCCTGTGCTCAAGTTGAAGGTATTACTGGCACGTACCGTATAAAGGATGCAAATTTTCACGCGTTTTCATCACCAAAGAAAAGTGATTAGGGATAGCAATCCTGAACGCTCGCAACGTCCGCCCGCAACCCGCGACGCCGTTAAAAGGCTGCGCCAGTCAAAAGCCGCTCATTTTGTTTCAAAATGTGTGACACACTTGAGAGAGATGTGTACTAGTCTGGTGAAATAAAGACTTTCCTCGAACTAAGCTTTATTTTTCATCTAACATAAAAAAAAATCTTTTACAAAGGTAAGTTGTCTCATGGCATGTACTTTGGCCTGAAAAATTGATGTTTTGGTTATAGCGCGGTACCGCTCATAATGAGGATCTTTGCGACTCCCACGACATACGTTATATGCGGTCTACACTGTATGTCATATGAAGCCCGCTGTCCAGCTTGAAAGCAAATGGATAAACCTCGGTGCCACCTATCCAGTTTGAAAGCAAATGGGCAAACCCACCGGTTCAAGGGTGCAGTGTAAGCGAGAACTGCGTTGTGGGTCCCTTTGTTGTAACCCACCGTGTTGCATATGGCTGCACAAATGATATTTTTACGGTAAAAAGAACACAAAGGCTTTCAGATGTCTGTCCGCAACGCTGCACCCCACCAAGAAAACAGCTTGGATAGCTGCTGTGAGGGGAAGAAAGTCGGCGGCTCATCCTGGCAGCCGAGCGAGCAGTGCCGAATCTGCAGCGCACATAGATTTTGTCAGCAGCTGACGAGTTTTCCATGTGCATATTGTGAAGCCTAATTTACAAACGGTTTTCCAGCCTCGCAACCAAACTGCCAGAGCTTTTAGTGCTGTACCAAAGATGACTTGCACTAGTTTGCTAGTGCAAATCATGCAAAAAGCAGCTCGAACTAAAATGGCTCCACCTTAAAGGCTGTCCAAACAGGAAACGATTTCTGATGTGCATGGCAAAAAAAGGATGAACGCTTCTCAAAAGGCATGAACATAACAGCGTGCGTGTACGTTTTTAGTGAGGACATCAACCACGCAAACAGCACGGCTTTCATCCTCGCTGTTTTCTATTTCCCTTTCCTGTTTTTGTTTTTGGAAGGTTGGGGACTGACATTGAGGCCTTGACGACAGCCAGCAGAGTGCGCAAGCGGCTATGTCCTGTCCTACGTCATGAAGATGCTCCAAGACTCTGTCCAAGGGTGCTAGTGGATGGAGGGCGACTTTTTCCCGGCAAGGAACGTCCCAAAGCGGACCGGAAGAGAAGGGAAGACCGCTGCTTCCATCTAGCATATGCTGTCCATAGCAGAAAGCGAGTCCCGTGTGGACAGCCCTTTGGACAGTAAATTGACAGGCTAATGTTTTTCAATTTACTCCGTTACCAGATAGCTGGGCTGCCAATGGATACTTATTTACTGACAGCACCACATAGATCAGCAAGATCATATATGATCGCACTTTGCCAAGACTAAACTATTCCAAAAATCTTTTTGAATCAAGATTATAACAAAAATCTTGTTGCATCAACAAATGTTGATGCATCTAAACATTTCATATTGCCACATCTGTTGCAATTCCCTCTTGACTGGGCAGCACTGGTGCCTGCAGTAGTTGTAAATAAATAAATAAAACAAATAAAATTTTTCGCAGAGCAAAGAATTAGAACTGTTAATTTTTAAATTATTTTATTCCATAATTTGCGGAGGAGTGCAACAGGCTTCCTTGTAATATGATGGAATCGCTAGACATCATTGTTGCATGTCTCACTAAAACTGCTTATGCACTCCTTTTTGCAATTCCGCTCAGATTATGTTTCTCCCTACGTCATCATCCTTTGTGAATTTGTTATCCTGTCGTGTACCACTTGCTACAATCTCCCGAGATTGTCAGTACTGGTAAAAACAACTGAGAGCTGTATTTCCAACTGTTGTACGTAGAATTGCAATGTACGAGAAATGGTGGATCTTTGCAACTTTTTCGATTGCCACACTCCGATTAATCGCACAATGTCGCACATGTGGTCGCGCGATGTCACAGTGTCCCACGACGTTACACGAAGTGACATCGTGTAAAACCATGACCCGACAGCCCGCGTGACGATCCAACACCATCATTGACACAGCGACGTTGGGTCGTTGGGTCACAGCACGGACAAGCATGCCATCTGAGCTTGTGTCTGAAGGAGGGTACATACCTGCGGTGAGGGCGGCGCCCTCGAGGTCGAGCAGCTGCGAGGGAAGGAAGTCGGCCGGGGGGGCATCTGCGGTGGTAGCTGCGGGCGAGTCCACCAGGGGCTCCCCAAAGGCCGCCCGCCACTGGCGGCCCAGGCCCTCCTCTGACGAGAGGGCGCAGAGCGACTCGGGAGAGAGCAACAGCGCAGAGAGCAGAGCCAGGTCGTCCCCTTCAGACGGGCCGGCCGAGAGCAGGTCCCCTGCACGCAGGACGCCACTCAGCAACACTTGTGCCAGTCGCAAGGGATACTTTATACGCAAGGAATACATCAATTTTGGAGCTTTCAGTCCAGACCAATCTTCCTCTCTTAGAGAAACATAGAAGCTTTGAAAAATACAAACATTGTAGTCACGTGCTTAGGAAAAAAGCACACTTTTAAAGCAGGGTAGTGCATGTGCGCACCTGATGTATTTCAAGGAGGAGGAGGAGGAGGGGGGGGGGGGGCTGCAATGATTTTAGGATTAAAAGAATTCGCATCTCGTCATTTTTAGGCTGTTTATGGTGTCCCGGAGGATAGAGCAAACAACTTCATTCAAAAATGTCGCGATTGCGCTGCATAATCGCAAAGCAAAACCCAAGCATTTTCCCCCACATGCAGCTGCGAGCGGCAGCCGAAGGAACTACAGTGAAAAGATTACGTGGCCTCGCTTGGTTCTAAGCTGCAGCATAACGGCCGCTAATGTTCGCAGAGAGAGGGAGAGGAAGCGTCCTCCGAGAGAGCACACGGGAACCTGCACGGCAGCCCGAATTGCGTCACTAGGAGTGCGACCAGGTGTGATGCTGAAGACTGGGAGTGCCAGTAATGACAATTTTTAGAAAACAACTAGGACACGCAGGCGAGATCGGTTTTCTGTTCTTTACTTGAGAAGTGTCAAAGGGCAACTTCCACCAATGTTTGACCGAAGTCCGGAAATAATTGCACACCCCATTTAAAAAGAAACAAATCTTTTTTGAATGTTGATATCTCCACTACATTAAAATTATCAAAATTCAACTGTGGCTATTATGCACAAGTATGTGTTAGGCAGAGATGTCCTGACAACCTGCATTCATTATTCATGATTGCCTATATTTATTTTCTCAAATTCGAGATTAAAGGGCCTTAAACAAATTTTGGGCTGGTATAAATCACTTTAGAGTGGGATTTTACTAATAGCACATCGTTCAGTAGGCCAAAAGAAAAAAGGAAAAACAGAAGCCTGACTTTCAGTGCAAAAATCTGAAAACAAAGCGGACTATTTCGTACCTCCTCCCCTTCGTAAGCTCTCTGCCTTTTCACTGTGATACATCCGCGGTTCCCAAAGCGCGTCACCGGGTCCAAACGCACGTCACACGATGCTGGACCTTCCTTATTCCCTTCACCCCTAAGCTGACATTGTGGTGGAAGCTACGCGCTTGCCCAACCAATCAGCCGCCTCCCTTTCATCACCTGACCTCATTCTCTGCGTGTGGGTATGCGCGAGAGAGCGTGATCACGTGGCAAAAGTGTGGCTGGCCCAACGAGCACGTAGCTTCCACAGCACTGTCAGCCTTGGGGTGAACGGGGTGGGGAAAGCAACTTTTGTCTGAATTTTTAGCGACGGGCTAACCTTCTAGGGGGACAATGGCTCTGTCCGGGTATACAAACAAGTTTCGAGCAAGAGGGGACCCCCTCTTTTCGTCTTCTTGAACTGTTTGGTAGAATGCGTGATTTATGAGTTGAGGAGGAAAGCTAAACAGGAAAAAGTTGGAAAAGCGTTTCATGACCCCTTTAAAGAAAGGATATTTGCATATAGCACGATGATTTATAAATCCTCTCGATTCGGTAAAGCTGGGCATCTCTGTAGGTTTAATTGTATGTAAAATGTGTCGTTTACTTGCCATCCCATGTAGGCTTAGGACTTTCTAAGTCCACAGCTCCATAAATCTAGTTAGATTATGTTTAATTTAGCTTAGAAATGAACAAGTAAAAGTTTGGGAACAACCTTCACGAGTTCAGCTGGGTTCTTTGTTTAGGCATGGTGGAGGAGTGAAAGGCTTGGAGAAACTATTCAATATTTACCTGGAAAATATTCTGCCAATCCACTATTTGCTTCAAATTATCTTCTAACTCAAAATCTACCATTTGCACATGCCTAAAAATAAGTAATTTGTACCCCAAATCCTTTAAATTTTAAAAATATTTAAAAACAAAAATATTAAAAAGGCTCTAATCCACTTCTTCATCGAGTATGTGGTATAAAATTATCTCTCTTAACATTACTATTGAAGGAGAAAAATTAGATACCTGTGGCAATATTTACCCCTTAATTATCTAATTAACCAATGGCTATCTTGTCCCAGAATCCCCAAGAACAGGAGGAATATCAATAATAATCCCTGGAGAAGGGGAACAAAGGGGACAAGGGACAAACACAATTATTATTGTCATTCTTGTCCAGCTCGCTTGTACCTTTGCATTAATTGCATTTAATCAGAAGGAATATGTTAGCAAAGCTACTTATGAGTATGTATTTTTACATTCCTTTTAATAAATTAAAAACCGGTTTGTAACCAGTTTAGATAGAATATGTTCAAGTAATTTAGAGCATGTACCAGTGAGTGAAATAGGGCGACAATTACTAATGTTTGAAGTACTGCCACTTTTGAGAACCAGAGCAATTTTAGCATATTTCCATGCACTGGGAAAATGCCTCTTTATGACAGATGATTGAAAGGTTGGGGTAAGATGTTTGAATACCTACTCAGCGTATCTTTTAAAAAATTCAGAAGAAACTCCATCAGGCCCCATGCTTTTTGTATCAGTGTTCTTTACTCATGTCTTTCTATACTGTTCATGGAAGGATTATAGAAAAATTGCTGAAACTCGGCAACATTTTATCAACAGATGTAAAAACAGATGAAAAATTGTGCGACAATCACACAACATGATGCGTTTAGACAGCGGCAGCTGCGCTGCTTATTTATTGGTATGACGATGACGATCGATTGAAATTGCGCTAGTCGTGCGTTATATAGTGATCTGATATTGAAATGATGTTGCGTTGATTTAGCATCGATACATTATTGATGAATAAATGATTTTAAGGTCATGATGTGTTTTCGCACCAAATTGAGCGGGGAAACTGAATATGTGCATAGGTCACATGACGTCAATTTTTCGCTAAATTTAACGGGGAAACTTTTCATTTACGCTCGTGCCGTCGTGAAACAGGAGGACAAGCCACTAACAGCTGCCGCTAAAAAAAAGAAAAGGTTGCAATGTTCAACACAGATTTTACCAAAATTGATGAAAACCGTGTCACTGTTGCAGCATGACATTGACAAATGGGTTAATGCAGTGCTTCTCAACCATTAATGTTTCGCGGAGCCCTCGTGGATCAGTGGAGATGATTGAGGACCCCGTTCGTGGTGAGGGGAAAAAAATGTATAGAATAGTTATGATAATGATTTAATAAAGTGATATAACTAAGTGACTGTGTTAAGTATACTTCTCTCACTGACATATACATAAGAAAACTTGCCCGAGAATTGGAATGTTCTTCTCAATTTAAAAAAAAATACAACATTTATAGCTGGGTTTAACTGATGAGGCAACGCTTCGCAGACCCCTAAAATGCCTTCGCGAACCCCCAAAAGTCTGCGGACCCCCATTTGAGAACCACTGGGTTAATGCATCGACAAAACTTACCAGGTGCCTCACTGACTCATGGGATGAATGCAATCTTAATTTTTAGCGTGCAAACACACCTTTCACTTCCCTGCTTGAGTTTTCTTTCTGCATGAATTATTTCTCGAGTAATCCAGATATTTTTAGATTACGTTATAGCCTTTTTACTTCATGAGAAATTTACAGTGCCGTGTGGCACGACCTCCTTTCGGGACACGGTCCTTTCTTTAAAGTGTCCATCGAACAGGGGCATTATTTCTAGCTTTTATGACTGAACAGCGCTCGCAAACCCTGGTAAACCCCGTAGCAGAGACACCACTCACAGTCTGCTGAGCCAGGGGCCGGCAAGACAGGCCCACTGGTGACCAGGTTGCCGACCAGGTTGCCGTCCAGGCTGCCGTCCAGGCTACCGTCCCGGTTGCCGTCCCGGTTACCATCTAGGGAGCTGCCCAGAGTGCTGCCCAGAGTGCTGCCCAGAGTGCTGTCCAGAGTGGTGTCCAGGCTGAGTAGAGGCACGTCGTCAAGGCCAGCCCTACCAGGGCTTGCCTTCTTGCGCCTCCGCTTGCCTTCCTCGTCGCGGTATTCTGACTCTGCCAGCAGCATCCTGCCATCCACACACCCGCGCTTAGAGCATAGGCTACGCTCAGATTATCAGCACTCCATTCTTCGAATGTCTTGTCGGTGACCATTTTGTGGCCCAGTGGAGAGCTAGCAAATTGGCCGTGGTTAACAACTGCTAATGCAAGCTCAGCCGTTGACAATTTCAACATTTCTGGAGGATGAAAAGAATTTTCTGCAATTTCAGATAAAGGCTTGGACAGTTGGCAACAATTATTTTAAGCAAAGCGATGAATGAAGCATCGATTACATTTGACCTTTTTGCAACTAAACACGCAGGGAGGCAATGAAGCCTCACACTGAACCCGTTCAAGCTGGCATCCATCTGGTCAAAAGTGTTTCATCCAGTGATGCCAAGCCCAGAAGCCTTTGTCGAACAGTGCTTTATCAAATGGCCACCATCATTTTAAAAAAAAACACTAAAATAAAAAGAAAAATGTATTTTTTTTTAAAAGAGCTTAGAGAGACACTTTTTTTTTGTAAATTTTCTCTTCCAAATATTTTTTCAGAAATATTTACATTGTTGGACGCAATAGACCCTTTTCAAGAGTCAGAATCACCTTGTGTCTGGCGATTATTGAAGACGGATTTAGACGAGGGCAAAATAGCAGACATACGCAAGCAACAGCAGATACAGATGCGCTACTTTCATGAATGCGTCTTACGGGCGTTCTGTGGATGGTAGTAGAATGTGTTCTAATAGTAGCTGCACCATACGCTGCAGCGCACCTGCCCGCATGACTAGTAGATGGTGTAGGTGACAGACTAGAACGCACCGGACGTCGTGACAGGGAGACATTAGGCTTCCGAACATGTTTAGCCGAGCAGCCAAGCTAATCCGGTAGTAATGGGAGGGCCACCATTCTGTGGGCGGGGCCTAGAGCGGGTGGTTAACTCCACCTACCATATTATCTTGAGATAGCCCACCTAAAATCGAGAGCAAATCGGGTGAAAACAAGGAGTGGGTTAACTTTCGGCGTTTAATGAAGAAAAGTTTAACAAAAGCTATTAGGGGCGAAGCTCCTTAGGGGCTAGCCATGTCCGTATGTCCGTTCGCTGTCAGGTGCACGTGCTCCTGCTCATGAGCTCACGTGCTCACGAGCACGTGCTCCCGTGCTCAAGTAGGAAAAAAAAAAACGCATCTCCACGTGGTAAATGATGTTGATTGGGGCGAAGCTCTGGTGGTGCTTGTCCGCGTAGACGGGGAGCCGCAGCATGCCGAACCTTTCGTTCGTTTTCCTCTATGTCAGAAAGAGAATGTGTGGTATGGAACGTGGTTATATACGCATTTGAGCATTTGACCGCAGCGTGACATGGATGGAAACGAACGAAAGGCTCGGCATGCTGCGGCTCAGCGTCTACGCAAACAAGCGCCACCAGAGCTTCGCCCCAATCAACATCATTCACCACGTGGAGATGGGGTTGTTTTTAGGTCATGTTTCCCTGACAAACTTGCTATTGCGGTGAGGGGCAACCAAGCAAAGATGACTGTACTTTTCAGTCAGCAATGTTCCCTTATATCCCGCCACAGCTAACTAGCTGCATTTATGCCGAGGTCATCATTGATCCAAACACTATGATTACCAGGAGTGGGCTATCTTTGGGTGTTTAAAAGAAAATAGAAAATAAAGACAAAAATAGGAATGGGTTTTCTCTCACAGATGGGGCATCTCTCGGCATATTAAGGTAAATTGTGCCTAACACTGTAAATACTGCACAAAAAGAAAAGTTTTTTGTTCGGGGAAATTGAAGGGGAAAAAAATGACCCATTTAAGCCCCTTGAAAATTTTTCATTTCAGTGTCCCTTTAAGAGAAGACACTGCTTCTAAAGCTTTTTTTTTTTTTTTTTTTTAATTAGTGGTCGAATTAAAATGGTATTCTAGAGAATGTCTGCCTTTACATCCTGATTGAAAATATGCACTTAGTTTTGATATAGTGCCAATTTGACTACTACTGAAGGCATTTGCAAAAATTGTGGGCAGGATTAAGACACATTTAAATACTGAAAATAGAAAAAAAAAAAAAGCATACCTCAGTAAACTATCGTCTATTGCAACTCAAGAAGGTAGGGCGAGGGTAAGACGGGCTGGGGAGGAGGAAGTAGACAGAATGCTGAAGAGAGGAGGAGGTTTTCCCCTCTCTTCTCCAGCATTCCGTCTGCTTCCTCCTCCCTGGCCCGTCTTACTCTCACCCTACCTTTTTGAATTGCAACCGGCTATAGAAGGTCTACAGAATCCAAAAAGGTATAAATGAAAACTGTAGGATGATTTATGAGCTTTTTTTTTTTTTGTAACATTTCCAACTTTTTTAATGGGAGTATATCCAGGCACTTTTCTTCTGTTTTGGCCACATCCAGGCGGAAATCAACTTCCAGTTTGGTCTTCCTTGGTTCTGCAGTGTGCTCAACAGGCTCCTGACCCTGTCCAGACTGCTGCTCCCATCTAGTTTTATGTAACCCATGTTGATCGATTGTTGCTCTTTTTCTGAAGCAATCCCTTAACAGTTCCTCCCTTACTTATCGCTCTGTGTAGACATATCTCGTGTAGATACTTCTAACATGAAAGCATTGATTTGTTTGGAGCCCTAGCATGGTTGCCCCTTTAACATGCCTTGTGTTGCCGTGACTCAATGGTGCTTGCGTTGTCGACTGCTCAATTGCCAATTTCTCAACTTTTCCAAAAACAATTCAATTCTCCTTGTTTTAGAGCACTTTTCTGTAAAGTATATAGAATACTATTCATGATAGTATTATGCTTCGGGCACCAACATTTAAAAAAAAAATGCCAACTCGCATTTTAAAGGGGAGTGCCCCTTTAAAAGGCACGCACCAACATGAAAGGTAGTCTTCTATAGGCCAACGTGCTGTTTATAAACGAGCCAACACGAGGTGTGGGCACTGCGTGTGCGCAAGAACCAGATTCGCTTGAAATGGAGTGTATCCGCATGCGCACGCCCAATAGCAGCGCCACTGCAGTGGCGTGATGTCAGGGCCCCGTGTTGGTAATAGAGCTTTATCGTTCATTTAGTCTACCGCGCTTGGCCATGCCAAGAAGAATCAACAAACTAAAATTGTTCCACTAGTTAACTTGTGGCAAAAGCGAAATATTTATCAGCGACTATATGTTGCACCAGACGCTAACTGACCAACTAGAAAAAAACACAATAAAGCAATGTGCAAGTTCTTCTGCCACAATAATGTATCCAAGTGTAGCTACTTTCTACGCACTGATGCCTGTTGCGGATTGGAACAAACCTCCTGAAGAATGTGTAAGACACTCTCTCTCGACATGCTTTTTTCCTGCGTACAGTCGCTCTTCACCGAGGACGTGTGTAAGAAACTGCATCAGCATCATCCACATTCTATAGACTTTCAAAATTTTTAAATGAAATTCCCAACAAAATGTTAAAATTAAATTCCAAATGAAATCCCGAAAATTTCGAAAACGAAATTCCCAGACGTTTGAATTATTTTTAAACAGCTCTAAAATGTTCCATTCTCATTTTCAGACTGTCCGTACTGTGAATGCAGTGCCAGTTCGATGTATTGGTATTTTTGTGTGTCATTATGTTTTCTGTTATTGCCTCGTTTGTTATATTCTACATTACACACATAGAATGGTTGTAGTTGCCTTGGCTCCTGTACAAGCAATCGGTGAATCGAGTAAGAGATAAATAAAAATAATTTCTCTACCCCAAAAAGAAAAGCACTAATCCATTTTCAGTGTGTATGCTCAAAGCATCCTAAAAAAGCTATGACCATCAACCCACTCCCCGTGAGCATGCAGTCAAAGCTTCCCTCTCTACACATGCCACAGGTGAGTGACTCTGCTGGACAAATGCAAAACCAACCAAACAGTTAAAAGCAACTGCAGTCCGAGCGTTCAATTATCTGCTCGGCAGTTGGGGATTTTGCAAATTGTTGCATGCACGTACAGATACAATATCAACGCTATTTCATTTTTGAAAGCGGTGGCTTTATAGGGCCAACTAAGCTCAGGAGCCACGTAAGCACGAAATGTGTAGGTTGGTCAGTGCATAACCATGGGCATCGGCAGGATTTTTTTCTGGGCGAGGGCAAAAATTTCACATCGACGTTCATTTGTTTTTGTTGTTGGGCGCAGAGTGACAAATTATTTTTTGTAATGTACAGAAATATATAATGGCCAAATTGAACTAGGAGGTTGTATATTCACGAGTCACAATCAATACATTCCCGCGACATTTTTACAACATTGTATACTCATAGATGTTTAAGCATGTATTGGCAGTTCTAATCACTTCTGTAAAAGGGCCCTTTGGAAGAAATATGACAAGTCTCGGTTTAACTGTCGCAGCCCAGACGCAAAAAATCTCGTGGATGGTGAAAGGGGCATGAGCATTTTGGAACCAACGGGTTATTGCACTGAAGGAAGAACCATTGGTAATTTATTAATTTACCAGATGTTATGTATCAATGCACAGTATCCAGTTCCGAAACCGTTCCAGTCACCTGCGGCCAGTCCCGCGTACGCTCGCTCTTCACTGCCGCTTCTTCCTCTTTACTCTCGTTCCCCCCCGCATCCGCGGGACGGGCCCGTTCGGTGCCACGCTATCCCTCACAATCCTCCCCCCTTAGAAAGCGAAGTCCGGTCGGTCTTCGCGGAACTTCAACAGCTGGTTCATATGTGCCAGTCCCGCCAGTCTTCCAGTTCTTTGGTCCCTCAGACGATAGTCATTGGCTCCCACTCTCCCCACCACCTCGAAAGGTCCCGAACGTCTTGGAGCCAGTTTTGCTGCCACTCCTTTGCTGGCATCACTGAGGGTGTGCAGGTCGCGTAGTACTGTGTCACCTATTTGGAACTCCGACTGCTGTCGGGTTCGATTGTAGTAACGCCTCTGTTGCTCTTGCGCTTTTCTTTGGTTCTCCAGAGCAAACTCATACGCGTCCTGCAGTCTAGATGTCAAATCTGCCATGAAGCCCGGCGTACCCCTGATTGGTAAAGGGAG